TGCCAGCATCCTCTCACCTGTCCTCCAGCACTGCTGCAGGGCCAGGGGCAAGGTCCCCTTCCCACCCCATAGCTGCTGGCAGACACGGGGGACTCCAATCCCACAGTGAATTTCCATCAGGTGTATGGAACCATAACCCAGCAGATGACTTCCAGATGCCAAATGGAACTAACATTCCTGTAAACAGCAGTGAGGAAGATATCTTCAGCTATGGGATGACCTGTAAGTCAGAGCTTGGGAACCAGCCTGGCCATCCCACGCTCCGGCACCTTCTGGCCATGCACTGGCTGGAGAGGCTTGGACACTGAACAAAACTAGTGCCAAGGGAGCCCTTCAATTTCTTTACCACCGCATGGAATCCAGCCCTAAAAAGAGCTAGCTTTAAAAACACGAGGTCCTACTCATGATGTGCTCTTTTGCAGGGGCTGTTGGAGAGCACAGCCTGTTTGCCCAGCCCCTGGCTGCACCAGTAACAACCTTCAACCCCATCTTCTTGTCTCAGCTGCGACAGGAGAGCAAAACCCAATATCAGCTGGCAGCCTCGCAGTGCCACGGCTGCAGGGAGTGCATCTATGACATGCTGAGCACAGGGGATGTGGCCCTGGGCTTGGCCACTCAGAGCCTGGTGGAGGACTACCAGAAGAGAAAGGCAGCACTTGGTAAGTGGGGTGTGGGGAAATGGAAGAGCCCTGCTCCCTCCCTGGGGCTATATGAGGCAAGAGAGATGCCACCAAGTTCTTGAGTTGCAGTGCACGGCTGGCTCATCTCCAATCCTGGGAGATGCCACCAAAGTCTTGAATTGCATGGCACAGCTGGCTGGTACTCAGGCATGGGAGATGCCACCCAGAAGGGATTTTGTTGGGTGGCCATGGCTACATCTGCCCAGGGCCACCTCATCACTGCGAGGTACATTGACCAAAAGATGCCAAGAACTCTTGGTGAGCACACAGGGCTGCTCTTCCCTCAGATTCCTTCCCTCCCGTGATCACCGGCAGCCCATTGCTCACAGCATTCAGGACAGAACAAGTCACCAGGCAGTACCGAGCTACGGGGCCGGCTGTACGCTTTGTCCCTCACATCTCACCAGAGCTCAACATATCGGGTAGGGATGGAGAGAGGGGACAGGATGGGGGCAGGACGGGCAGCGCACAGATGTTGGGTTCTGGTTGGAACCCCTCCAGGAGGGCTGGGACGTGACCACTGCCACGTGCCCCCTCCTCCTCTGCTTCCTACAGAGAACGGCATGCTGACATGGGAGCCCCGTGGGACAGCCCCGCTCAGCATCACCCTGCAGGCTGTCAGCCCACACCTCCCCCCAGCCCTCCTGCAGCTCAGCTTCACCCTGTGCAGCTGCCGCAGCATCCAGCAGTGTGACTACAGCAGCACGACCACCATCGCCAGCTCCTCCTTGCAGGTAGCAAAGCTCTGGGACATCTCCCTCTACCAGCCCCATCCCATCTGTTCTCATGTCCCCTAAGCTAGTATCACAATCCCTTGGCAGCTGGCAGCCTGCAGGTGTGACGATGGATACTGGGGCCCCTTCTGCCAGCACGCACCAGACCCCTGTGCCCAGGGCTGCTTCCCTGGCGTGGGCTGTGACCCGCACACGGGCTGTGGTCCCTGCCCACCTGGGCTGACCGGCGATGGGCAGCACTGTGCAGGTGATGTGGGCTCATTATGGGAATGAACACTGGGGCCTCGAGGGGTTTCGCCCGGTGCCATGCTGCATTGCACTGCAGATATCGATGAGTGTGTACAGAAAACGGCGTGCCAGGGGAACCTCACCTGCACCAACACTGTGGGCAGCTATACCTGCTCCTGCCCTGCCGATGCAGCAGGTGAGTGCAGGCATCCTGGGATGCACAGCTTTGTATGGGGTAACAAGCAGAACACCTTGGCTCCAAAAAGCAGTGTCTACCTCCTGCATCAAGTACTCCCATCCCACAGGGGAAGGTCTGGGATGTAGCACTGCCTGCAGGTCCCACTCCTGCCCTGAGGGCTTCTGCAGCAACGGGGGACGCTGCCGCCTGCACCCCCCTTCCTGCACACCCACCTGTGAGTGTCCCCCAGCATTTACCGACCGGCACTGTGTGGTGGCAGGAGGGGACTTTCTGCCCTTGGCCAGCGCAGGTGGGTGCTGTGTCCTACATGGGGCTGTCACCCATCCCAACTCACCCAGCCCTGGGACACAAAGGCACCAATGCAGTTTTGTCCCCAGATCTGCCCCAGAGGAGCGTGCTGCTGTGGGTCAGGGCAACGCAAAGTGCCACAGCTGAGGAAGTCAATGCCACTGTGCGTAGTGGTGGGGGAGGGGCTGTGGCTTGTGGATGGGTGGGACGCTGCAGGTTGGGGTGCTGTTGCATTACCCCCCCCCCCCAGGGATCCAGCTCCACGTGCTCCATGCCTGAGAGGCAGCTGGGGCTGGGGTATAGGATCACAGCCCACATAAATCTCCCACCCAATCCCTTGGCACAGGTCTCAGCCATCCTGGGCTCTCTGGAGGTGAAGGCATTTTGGAGCAACACCAACATCACCTGCATGTGAGTGCTGAGCAGACAGGGCGGAGCTTAGAATACAAAGAGTTTTGCCCCTACGGATCTGCTTTTCCAGCCCCAGTACTGCTAAACCCTCACAGCAGTGAGCCCCCTCCCTTCTTTCCCCCATAAGTCATGGGGAAACTGAGAACAGCAGCCAGCTCCTCTCCCAGCAGGACAGCTGATGGCCTCACCTTCGCTGTGGTAGCCAAATTTACCTACAACAGCAGCAGCTTTGTCATCCAGTTCCTGAATGAGGAGCTGACAGTAGCCATCACCACTGCTTTCAATGGGCAGAGGGCACGGCGGGAGTTGGCACACTTTGCACACTTACACCTGGACAACATCACGGACCTGGTGAAATGTGAGTGCCCCAGTACCAACGGTGATGGGACTCCCGTGGCTGTCCCCTGCCATCCAATGCACCCTGGGGTTGTGATGGAGATGGTTTGGTGCTGATCGCCACCAAGGGGTCCTGGGGATGCAGCAGGCATTGATGCTGCCCCAAACCCCCATGCATGGACCCATCCCTCTGCAGTATCAGTGCCTGAGCTGCAGCATTACTTCTCCTGCTCGCTATATGGCTATGAGGGTTACCAGCTCGACTATGTGGAGACAAGCGGACTGATCTGCATCTCCCCCTGCAAGAAGGGCTACTGCCAGCACGGCGGCCACTGCCAACACCTGCCTGAGGGTCCCACGTGCAGGTAGCTGTGACACTGAGGTGGGAGACACCACCCACACAGCAACCCCTCCCTGTATCCAAATCTCCATCCCTTCCACAGCTGCGTGCCCTTCTCCATCTTCTCCCCGGGCGGTGCTCACTGTGAGCAGCTCGCTGTCAGCCTCGCTGCTTTCATCAGCATCATGGTGGGGGCCCTGGCACTGCTCTGCCTCCTGCTCTCCACTGCCTGTCTTGCTGCACAGCTCTGCCGTCGGCATCGGGAGCCCCGGAGGTGAGCGAGGGACTGGGGCTGGGCCCGTAATGTGGGTGCTGTGGGGCAGGGTGTTAAGAATGGGTGTCAGGAGAAGCTTTGCCATGCTGAAAAAGTGGAAAATCCATCCCAGGTACGGGACAGGGGTGTTTTGGGGAAGGAGGCTGAGCTCAGCATCATCCACCCTATTTGCAGTTGTCTGCTGCAATGAGGAGTGACAGCTTCCTTCTCCATGTCTGAGAGCGGTCATGTTTCTTCCCTGTCCCACCCTGTGTTTGGTTACAGAAGGGCTTTCTGTTGATTTTAATTTGAATGCCATCCAAATGATTTCCGCTGAAATCCATGTGTTGCTGGGAGGAGCAGGTCTGGAGCAAGAAATAAAGCACATTGTAGGGGCAGAGCTGGCTGGGGGAGTAGTACCAACCCATCCCCATCTGCACCCTATCCTTGGTATGGGATGTGTGGGGTGGGAAGCTCTGCATCTGAGCCCCCATTGTGCCAGAGCATTTGTTTGCATTTGGGACAAGGCAAGAAATGCGGTGTATGCAGGAGCTGGGGCTTTTCCTCCTCAATTCCTGTCTACAGCCCCACACTCAGTCAGTGCTCCCTGCATGGGGGGTTGAGAGCAAGACAGGGGCTCTCCTGCCCCACCGATATGTTGTCCCCATTCTGTCCTCCTCTCCTAGGACCAAGGGGACCTTCTGGAGAAAGCGGCCGTTCTCCTGTGAGTACACTCCCAGCCTGCTTTGTAGCCCAGCTCTGAGCAACAGAACAGGCAGTGGAGTGTCCCTATGCTCCCCAGTTGTCCCCACAGTGCTCCCCCAGCTCTGATCTTTTTCCCCATCCCAGCTCTGATGAAGGCAGAAGAGGGGGCAGAGGCCTCAGGAAGGCTCTGGGAACCACAGCTCCGGGCCATCGATCCGTCCATCCAGGTGTGCCAGGGGTCACTGTCCCTGTGTGTGGGGCAGCACAGCAGTGTCCTTGTCCCAGGGCTCAAAGTCTGCTCGGGATGCTGGGGACAGCAGGATCTGCACTGCTGCTGGGGCTCAGTGCAGGGATTGTGCAACTAGAAGACCACTTGTCCTGTGCCCCTTTTTGCAGATGCGGTTCAAGAGACCCCACATCCTGCCTCCATGCCAAGGCACTGTGCAGCCCTAACATGCTCTGCTCCCAGCAGTGGGGCAACGAGGTAGGGCTCCGGGCATGGGAAGGGGATGGAACATACAGGGCTGTGGGACATGGCTGTGCCACGAGGACATGGGTCACCAAAGCAATGGGATCTTCTGCAGAGGACCTGAAGAAGTGATTGGAGTCATCCATAGGAGTGCCTACCACGGAGGGTGCCCCAGCATGGTGCAACCAGACCCAGCAATCACACTGCATTATGAACAAATCAGAATAAAAATGAGATGAGGGCATTGTGCTGAGTGATGCATGCACCCCCAGCTCTCAACATCAGATCACACAAGCCAGTCCCTGCTCCAAGCCCACTCCCATCCCACCCACCAGAGAGGTAGCTGCACTTCACTGGTGATGCTCAGACCCTCTGATGCTTTATTGAAGGAATGCAACCTGAGAAGAACTTTGGTGCTTTTGCAAGAATTCAGGTGTTCTCACGCACGCAATATTATTTTTCTCCTATTATTTCCAATCACAGGGTTGAATCAATGCAAGGTGTGAAGGCCCAGATGCTGGGGGTTAAAATCCCCTGTAGTGCCAGCCTCAGGCAGGAGAGCAGGGGCAAGGAACATGATGACAGTGCCTGTTCCATCATTGAGGGAGCAGAGGCATGCAGGGTACAAATGGAAGTGAAGGGTTTGGAGGATCATCCACGGCGCAGAGTGTGTTGTGTGTATGTGACCCGCAAGTTACTCCTCCTCCTCATCTGCAAAGAAATAATAAGTAGTGAAACCTCATTCCTAGCCTCTCCAGGGTATGGGGTGAACCCAGAACCCCCTGAGCCCCTCACCTCTCTGCTCCTTCGAGTCGCTGTCTTCTGAGGAATCCTCTGTGGATTGCAAGAAAGACCAAAGCTCAGCCTACACCCACAAGTGCTGCCTGATACTCCACACATTTCCTCTCCTCTACTCCACACATTGCCCAGCTCCATAGTGCTGTGTGTTACACCAGCTCAGAGCACCATCCTCCTCCAAACCCAAACCCAAACTCGTCTCAGGGCTTTCACTGTATTCACCATGGAGGAACTGTGATGTCCCCCTCCAGCCCTGGGCACATGCAGGCAGGGAACCCACCTGCACTGTGTGCCCGGTACCCATCGCATCCAATCCGTGGTCTCTTCTCGTTGTAGCGGGCACAGAGGCGAGCGCTCCCTGCTTGGTTGCAGCACCAATCATACAGCTTCAGCTCCTGATCTGGGGGGAAGGAAGCACAGCATCATGGGCTGGGAAGGGGAGGAGAGCGTGGCCATCCACAGTGTGTCCAGAGATGGGTTGGCACAGGGATGCTTCCCCCCTGCACCCGGGTGTCCGTGCTTACCACGATATGGGGATGCCTGTCGGTACGCCCTCCAGTATCTCTCCTGCCGCCCCTCCACCAGCTGCCCCCGGCCATCGTACAGGCAGCGCACACCAGCACCGTGTGAGTTGGGCGAAGCAGAGTGCAGCATGGAGACACGAGCAGACCCCCAGCCTGGAGCAGGGATGCAATCAACTCATTTGGCACTCTGGGGACACCCGTGGGGGATGCCATGGGCGTACAGGGGACACACTGGGAATGGCGGTGCCACTTGCCTCCATGGCCACTCCTGAAGCGCCGGTCCTGCTGGCCTTGCTGCAGGGAGCAGGGGCAGGCAGGCAGGTCCTGGCTCCATTCCTGCGGCTCCTGCTGCTGCCTCGTCCAAGCCAGGCACTTCAGGCGGTAGTTGATGCCCACACGGCTCTCCAGCTTGTACAGCCACAGCCCACGAAGATCTGAATGGGGAATGGGAGATGGGACCTTGGGCTGCTCCAGCAGAGAGAACAGATGCTGATGCTGTTGGGTCCCCACCACGGGACCCCAACACCAGGGGAATATTCAGGAAATGGGAGAGAGGCTCTTGCTGAGAAGAGATCTCCAAGAAATTGTATTGCACAAAAAAGGTATGCATCATTACGGAAAACCCCAAAGATGCTCCCAAAGTTTAGCTTGTTTCCAGGGCATCACTCATATTCAGGGAACTCAGTTTATGTGTCTGGATGGGAATGGTGTTGATAGTAAATTCAGTGCCCCCCCCGGCGTGGAGCTGTCCCCATGCCTGTGCAGAGCATCCCCCAGGCCATTTGTCTACCTGTATTGTAGCCTCTGTAGCGATCAGGGCGATATTTTGCAGCTGGAGATCCTTGGGTCAGGTCATCATTGCGGTAATGCCCATCCCCACTGCACAAGGGGAAGGGGAGCAGTCAGACATTGTGGGGTCACACCACCCCAGCATTGAGTCCCTGTGACACCCTGTACCTGGTGTAGCCGATCAGCACATTGGTGGCCGGCAGCTGGGTGTAGTCCCACTGCATTCCTCCATCCTTGTACAGAATCAGGACATAGGACCTGAAGCCATCAGTGGTGAGGACAGCCTGGTATGTGTTTGTCTGGGGAGAAGCACCAAGGGCAGGTAAAGGACTGAGCAGAGCTGATGGATTTACCATGAGGTAAACCTAATGAGGCTTCCTGAGAAATGGTACTTGGACACCCCCACCTCGTAGGCCCATACCCTGCGGCTGTCACCACGTGCCCCGTAGGCAGGTGCCTTCTCCCAGGTGATCTTCAGGGTCCAGGCTGCAGAGTAGGAGGACCTCAGATAGTGCCGGACCTTCGCTTCCACGTCACGGATGAATGGTGGCTTCTCTGAGTTCAGGGTGAGGAACTCCTGTGGGTTTGGGACACAAAGGGATGAGACCCCAGTGGGACCATTCATGATGCTGCAACCAGGCGTGTGGTTCCCAAGAAGGGAAATGCCACCCATCACCTGTTCACTCTGCATCTCAGGGGGAATCCATGAACAAAGCAATGAATGAGAACCATTTGAGTTGGAAGGGACTCTTAAAGGCCATCTGGCTGAACCCCCTGCAGTGAACAGGGACACCTACAACTCCATCAGAGCCCCGTCCAACCTGACCACAAGTGTCTCCAGGGTCGGAGCACCCACCACCTCTCTGGGCAACCTGTGCCAGTGCCTCAATCACCTCAATGCAATCACACAGAAGGATTGCTTCACCAACCTGGTAGAAGGTGGTGCCGGTGCCCCTGGAGAAGTCAGCATTGTCCCAGAACACAGCGATCATAGGAACACTCTCATGGCCGGTGAATCCACGGGCAGGTGGGTTGGGGAGTGTGAAGATGCTGCTGTCGGAGGCTGGGAAGATAATCTGCCCGTTGTCTGTGAACTGTGCACAAGGGGATGGGGTTGGAGTTTTCTACATCAGGTACTGGAAAGAGGTGCACTCAGGGCAGCATGGACTCACGTAGAGAGAATCACGCAGGGTTTTCCCAAACGGGAATCCGATCTCGGGCTTGAAAAGTGGGGAATTGAAGTCCACTCTCCTTTGCACATATTCGTGGTCATTCTCTCTCGCTCCATACCTATAGAAGGGTACCGCTGGGACTAAAAGAGAACAATAAAATTCAGAAAAAACCTTCTTATAGCAAAACCCCTTGGGCTGTGCCAACAGAAATAATTTTGCTTTCAAGGTGACACCGCCTGGGCAGCAGGAGGATGGGGGCACACCGGAACACCCAACTCCTGCTCCCATCCCTCTCCCTGCCCGAGCCCTGCATCACCCACCTGGGGGAAGTGGCGGTGGGGTCGGGGTAGCAGCCGGCTGTCCAGGAGCTGGGAGCATAGAGGATGATACATGGGAACCAACAGTGGACCTGCCGCTTGCCCCCAGCCCCATGAGCCCCATCTTGTCCCCAGGGCTGGAGGCTGGGCCGCAGGATACAGCAAAGAGTGGGGTGGCAGAGGTGGACCCTCTTTGGGCTCCCCCTGGGACCGGGATGTATGCAGGGGTGCTCACCCTACTGTCAGCCCCACGGGCTGGATTGGCGATGGTGGGGCCATCAGCATCCCCCCTGCCTTCAGCTGCTGCAGGGACCCCACGCTGGATGGGAGGCAGCAGCAGGGCAGCCCCACCTGCAGAAGCAGCTTCCCATTTCCCTGCTGCCCACTCACTTGCTGAAATCAGAGAGGAGAGCTGGGGACTGGTGGCTGCTCCCTCCTTTAGGTTTTCTCTTTCGGATGCAGAAGGCAGAGCTGGGGCAGCATTAGGGGCATGTTGGAGCTCTTCTCCCAGTGGAGCCAGCATCCCAGAAGCTGTCTCATCCACAGGGGGCTGTGGCACTGCTGGGAGGCTGCTTCCACTCTGGGTACTGGAGGCAGAGGCGGGGCCTGCGTTGGGAATTGAGCTGTCCCCAACCCCCCTGGCAGAGGCAGATGCAGCCACCATCAATGGGCTGGAGGCAGCTGGAGCCAGTGGGACCAGGGGCTGTGTCTCCTGGGGTGAGGTGGGGATGGAGGGGGACGACACTCCCGAGGCGATCTGGATGACAGTTCCCAGCCCGGTTCCCCCACTGGCAGGAGGTGATCCCTGGGCTGAGGCTTCCAGTTTGCCTCCAGCCAGCTCTACCACGTTGACTTGGCTGAGTTTGGCATCAGGAGGTCCAACATGGGCATTGCTTTGGGTGGTGGGGGGAAGGATGGGTATTTCCTTGTTGCTCTGGAGAGCAGTAGCCCCAAAGCCTGAGCTTGAGCCAGCTCCACCAGCTCTGGGGATGTCTGCTCCTGTATCTGCTCCAGCAGCTGCTTCAGGTAATGAAGATCCATGAGCAGATGGGGAGGAAGATATAGAGATCAGTGTAGATCCCTGCCTTCCATCAGAGGCTACAGCTGCTCCTGTCCCAGTTTGGTCCTGAGATTGCCCTGGAGCTTCTCCATCTGCAGAGACAGCCTCAGCTCCATCACGCACTCCTCCTGCAGCAGAATGGAGCCCGGGTGCAGCAACCAGGGAGGGCTGCAGAGCACTGGGAGCACCACCTGCTCCTCCCAGGACACTTGGACCAGCTGTATCTGAAGCAGAGGGAGCTGTGAGCACATCACTGGGGGAGGCAGGACTCGATGGGGACAGAGCAGCAGGCAGCAGCTCCGTTCCAGCCTTCAGCCCAGTGCCTGGTGAGGAGCTCAGGGATGGCTCAAATATAGCTGCACTGCTCACTCCTCCCAGCACCTGCCCCTCTGCTCCCGGCGCTGTCAGACCTGTGCCAGGCTGCGCTCCAATGCCAGGAGAGGGGGACCCTTCAGGTCCATATGATGCTGAGCTAGGGGCATCCAGCACCGAACTAAATCCACTGCTTGGTCCCTCAGCCCCAGGGAGAGCTGTGTCCTCAGGAGCACTGACTGCTGTGTCCCACGGCTGTGATGCACTGAGGGATGGGGATACAGGTGCTTCGGGGGCAGCACCGAGGTCGGGACTCACTGCTGCCTCTGCTCCAGTACCAGGCAGAAGACCTGTTCCAGTTGCAAGTCCAGCTACTGGAGAGGAGCTTAGGGATGGCTCAAATGCAGCTGCACTGCTCACTCCTCCCAGCGCTGTCAGACCTGTGCCAGGCTGCGCTCCAATGTCAGGTGATGGTGGGCCCACAGGTCCAGATGACGCTGAGCTGGGGGTATTCAATGCTGAATTGATGCCAGTGTCTGGTCCCTCAGCCCCAGGGAGAGCTGAGTCCTCAGGAGCACCAGCTGCTGTGTCCCACGGCTGTAATACATCAATGGATGAGGACGCAGGTTCTCCTGGGGCAGCACTGAGGTCGGGACTCACTGCTGCCTCTGCTCCATTGTTGGCCTCAAACACAGCACCATCCACAGCAGCTGGAGGTGGGAGAGCAGCACCAGGGGCACCAAGGGCCTCAATGGGCAGGGGTCCTGATCCTCCAGCTCCAGAGAGGTCGTGGCCAGGAGCTGAAGGACCACCTGGAGACAGTGCTGGTGCCAGGGCTTCTTCCCCAGGAGCAGGGGCAGGAGAAAGTTCAGTATGGAGCACAGCTCCTGGTGTGTTGTCAGTGGGACCCTGCTGGATGCTGGTGGCTGCAGGACTCGTGTCACTCTGGATGTTCACATAGGGGCTGCCATCTCCTGCATTTTCTGCCTGTGTTGTGTCCCCTGCTCCTGTGTTCCCCTCTGCCTGTTGCCCTGCAGCAGGCAGTGTTGTGCCATCAGGTGCAGAAGATGATGGGTTGGTGGCACCCAAAGCTGAACTCAAGCTGGTGTCAGGTCCATCAACTCCTGGCATCCCCAGACCTGTGCCAGGCTGTATGCCAAAGCTGGGAGATGGTGGGCCCACAGGTCCAGATGATGCTGAGCTGGGGGTATTCAATGCTGAATTGATGCCAGTGTCTGGTCCCTCAGCCCCAGGGAGAGCTGAGTCCTCAGGAGCACCAGCTGCTGTGTCCCACGGCTGTAATACATCAAGGGATGAGGACGCAGGTTCTCCTGGGGCAGCACCGAGGTCGGGACTCACTGCTGCCTCTGCTCCATTGTTGGCCTCAAACACAGCACCATCCACAGCAGCTGGAGGTGGGAGAGCAGCACCAGGGGCACCAAGGGCCTCAATGGGCAGGGGTCCTGATCCTCCATCCCCAAACAGGTCATGGCTGGCAGCTGCAGGACTGTTTGGGGACAGTGCTGGTTCCAGCTCTCCTTCCCCAGGAGCTGGGGCAGGAGACAGTTCAGTATGGAGCACAGCTCCTGGTGTGTTGTCAGTGGGACCCTGCTGGATGCTGGTGGCTGCAGGGCTTGTGTCTGTGTAAGGATTTTGGCTCTCTGGGATTTCTGCCTGTGCCATACCACCTGCGCTGTTGATCCCTTGTGCCACAGTGAGCTCTGGGCCATATGCAGAGCCCTGGGATGGGACGGCAGAGCCAGGAGCTGCTGCTGGGATGGGTGCAGCTGCTCCATCACTGTCTGAAATAGAGGGAATTGCAGGGATGCCACTGTGGGAGGCAGAGTTGGGTGAGGACCCAGTACCAGGCAGAAGACCTGTTCCAGTTGCAAGTCCAGCTACTGGGGAGGAGCTTAAGGATGGCTCAAATGCAGCTGCACTGCTCACTCCTCCCAGCGCTGTCAGACCTGTGCCAGGCTGCGCTCCAATGTCAGGTGATGGTGGGCCCACAGGTCCAGATGATGCTGAGCTGGGGGTATTCAATGCTGAATTGATGCCAGTGTCTGGTCCCTCAGCCCCAGGGAGAGCTGAGTCCTCAGGAGCACCAGCTGCTGTGTCCCACGGCTGTAATACATCAAGGGATGAGGACGCAGGTTCTCCTGGGGCAGCACCGAGGTCGGGACTCACTGCTGCCTCTGCTCCATTGTTGGCCTCAAACACAGCACCATCCACAGCAGCTGGAGGTGGGAGAGCAGCACCAGGGGCACCAAGGGCCTCAATGGGCAGGGGTCCTGATCCTCCAGCTCCAGAGAGGTCGTGGCCAGGAGCTGAAGGACCACCTGGAGACAGTGCTGGTGCCAGGGCTTCTTCCCCAGGAGCAGGGGCAGGAGAAAGTTCAGTATGGAGCACAGCTCCTGGTGTGTTGTCAGTGGGACCCTGCTGGATGCTGGTGGCTGCAGGACTCGTGTCACTCTGGATGTTCACATAGGGGCTGCCATCTCCTGCATTTTCTGCCTGTGTTGTGTCCCCTGCTCCTGTGTTCCCCTCTGCCTGTTGCCCTGCAGCAGGCAGTGTTGTGCCATCAGGTGCAGAAGATGATGGGTTGGTGGCACCCAAAGCTGAACTCAAGCTGGTGTCAGGTCCATCAACTCCTGGCATCCCCAGACCTGTGCCAGGCTGTATGCCAAAGCTGGGAGATGGTGGGCCCACAGGTCCAGATGATGCTGAGCTGGGGGTATTCAATGCTGAATTGATGCCAGTGTCTGGTCCCTCAGCCCCAGGGAGAGCTGAGTCCTCAGGAGCACCAGCTGCTGTGTCCCACGGCTGTAATACATCAAGGGATGAGGACGCAGGTTCTCCTGGGGCAGCACCGAGGTCGGGACTCACTGCTGCCTCTGCTCCATTGTTGGCCTCAAACACAGCACCATCCACAGCAGCTGGAGGTGGGAGAGCAGCACCAGGGGCACCAAGGGCCTCAATGGGCAGGGGTCCTGATCCTCCATCCCCAAACAGGTCATGGCTGGCAGCTGCAGGACTGTTTGGGGACAGTGCTGGTTCCAGCTCTCCTTCCCCAGGAGCTGGGGCAGGAGACAGTTCAGTATGGAGCACAGCTCCTGGTGTGTTGTCAGTGGGACCCTGCTGGATGCTGGTGGCTGCAGGACTCGTGTCACTCTGGATGTTCACATAGGGGCTGCCATCTCCTGCATTTTCTGCCTGTGTTGTGTCCCCTGCTCCTGTGTTCCCCTCTGCCTGTTGCCCTGCAGCAAACAATGCTGTGCCATCAGGTGCAGAAGATGATGGGTTGGTCGCACCCAAAGCTGAGTTCAGGCTGGTGCTGGGTCTGTCAGTTGCTGTCCCCCATGGCTGTGACTCCTCTAGGAATGGGGATAGAGATACTCCTAGATCAGCACCGTAGTCAGGGCTCACCACTGCCTCTGTGCCATCAGTTTGCAGAAGGGATCCAGCTGCAACCCCTGGGGGTGGGAAAGCAGTGCTGGGTGCACCAGAGGTGCCTGTAGGGGCTGGTGGATCAGCACCAAGCAGTGATTGCTCTTCTCTGGTGGGGCTCAGCCATGGGGCTGGCTGCTGGGAGCTTTTGGCTAGATTTACAGCCCCTGTGGACAGGGGCACGCTAGTGCCTGCATCTGGGACGTCTGCATCACTCTGCACATCGGTGCCTGGCAGCAGAGTGGCTGTGTCCCCTCTCACCCCAGGTGCTGCAGGTGCCTCACTGTCTGACAGGGCTGAGCCAGGGCCAGATAGCAACACTGTTGGGGCCCCCTGCTTGTCCCCATCACCAGGTCCTAGCAAATTAGCAGGGCTTGGTCCTGCCTGATTGGTGAGAAGGGAGCTCTGCCCTGGGTTTTCTGCTGTTTCCAATGCTGCCACACTCTCTGGAGGCAGCTGTGATGTATCAGCTGTGCTGAAGACACCATTTGCTGCGTCTCCCACATCTCCGGACTCCAAAGCTGCCCACCCTAGGGTGTCACCCACGGTTCCACTCACAACCTTGGTCCACGGTGTTGGGAGAAACCCACTGGCACCAAGGCTGGGGATTGATGAGAGGGCACGTCCATCCCCTTTGCTATCCCCAGGCAGGGTGACACCTTCTACCTCTGCTCCTGCAGCTGGGGGCAGAGCAGTGACATGGGGGTGCAGGGGGGTGGTGGTCAGCGCCTGTGTCCCTGCAGCTGTAGGAATGGTGACACTGGGGAGGAACATGGCATCAGTTGTGGACTCCAAGCCACCTCCTGCAGTTATTGTGGATGCTGGGACATCTGCAAAGATAGAGGTTCTCCCCGAGGGTGCAGCAGCGGTGGTCCCTGTTACGTTGTGCTTGGTGCTGGGAGTAAAGTTGGGCTGTGGGGTGACAACAATGGCAGCAGCTGTGGCAGCTGCCAAACCACTCTGGTTTTTCTGTGTTGCATCAAGAGATGTGGCCACATCCGTTCCAACCTGAGGGACTTCAGTAGGTGCCTGTGTCACTTCCCCAGTGCTCAGCTCTGCATCTCTCTCTGCACCCAGAGAAGAGTTGTAACCAGTGGTCTCGGTCACTGAATCTGGCTCAGCCCAGGAGGGGAAGGATGGGCTCACGCTGGGACTCACGAGGATGCTCTCAGCCATCACGGTGTCACTGACAGTTCTTGTCCCCACAGTGCCCAGCAGCAGGGCAGTGGGTGCCTCGCTCTGCGATGGAGTGGCAGCAAATGGTCCCTCTGTGGTAACAGGGACAGCGGTGGTGGTCCCCAGCCCTGCATGGAGCACAGAGCAGAGCATTACAGTGAGGACAGGACCAGTGGTCCCTTGGCTTGGGGACAGCAAGAGGGAGCACACAGGGTGGGTGGGAGGGTTACACTGGGGATGACAGCAGTGGGACTGGTGGGTCACCCCTTCCCCGGAGCTCCCCAGGGCCAGAGCTGCAGGAGCTGAGTGTGTACAACCACAACAGCCATCAGGGCAGACAGCAGCACCTGGTGAAATCCCACCGAGGCTTATTTTTAGCACAGCGGTGCAACCACTGGAGGGACTGAGCTGGAGGATCTGCTGACTCCTGGCTCTGGGTGGCTGTAATTAGGGGAGCCCTAATTAGCACCCAGCAAGTGAGACTGGGCGCTCAGCCCTGGCGCTCCGGTCCATCAGGTTCCCTGCGGGCAGCCAGCCCCCAGCACACAGCATGCTGCGTGCCAGCAACCACGTGCCAGCATGGTTCATGGATCTCAGTGTCTCCTGCCCATGTTACGGGGGTTCCCAATTTCCCTTTCAACCCCCTGGTTCCTCCCCTTCCTCTTCTCTTTCTTCTTCCCCTTCCCTTTCTTGCCTTTCTCTCCTCTTCCAGTGAATAAAGGAATTTGCAGCGGCATCAGCATCAAGGCTGAAGGATGAGATGAGGAAGCTCTGCTGCACTTCAGTACAGCCTTCAGTGTCCTTGTGCAGGGCAATACCATGCCCCCTTCAACACTTTCTTAGCTCTTTGGCTGCAAAGGACCTCAAGCATTGGACTAAGAAAGGTTTCTGACATATCCAGAAGGAAAAAAACATCTCCCAGCCATACCTAATAGGTAGAATAGCAGGAAAATATGGGACATACCATGCAGAATCCATAGGCAGCATCCCATGAAGGTCGAAAGCATCCATTCCCTGGTCCCCATGCCTCAGGCAGAACTTTGAGGCGCTGGAAGGGAAGGGAGAGCAGCACGGAGCAGCTCCTGCAGCCAGAGTCCCACAGGTGTGGTCCTGCTCCAAGTCCCTCCTATTTATGGGGCTGGTGAAGGAGGCAGGTCCCCTCCCTCCCCTGCCGCTCTCCCTCCACGTCCCCGTCCCCAGTCCCATCCCACGCAGCTTTCCCCTGCCGAGGGCCACATGGGCTCAGCACCCACCTCCCTTCATCCTCTCCTGGGGGCTGTGGGTGCCCCATGCAGGAGCAGCCCCTTACAGACAGGTGTGTGTGGCATCACCCTATAGCCATCAACTAGAACTGCTGGGTCTTCTGTGCCCAGGGCAAGGATGCAAAACCTTGCCCAGCTCGTGGCTTCCACAGGAAGGTCTGAAAGCAGGGGAGGTAGGGTTGGGACAGCCATGAGGTGACCTCAGAGGAGCACTGGGAACCCCCCAAATCTGGCTATGCCAGGTGTGGTAGCAGACGATGGGCAGCCCTTCTCCCATTCCTCCCTCCTTTCCCCCACAGTCCCCATTCCCACCCCCCAGCCGGGGCTTCCCAGTGAATTGCACAACGCCCACCAGCGCACGCTCTGGGAATCGATTAAACGCTCCTTAAGCAGCGATGCCCGCGGGCAGCTCTCGCAAAGCGTCATTAGAAGTGTTGTCAGGCAGCAACCGGGTACACGCTGTGCCGCCGGAGCCTCCATTCAGCAGGATGCGGTGGCACGGCCAGCGACACCCGGAGCACCAACCCACGCATTGCCCCCTGCCCGCACACCGCGTGTCAATCACACCGCTCCACTCACCCGCAACGAACGCCGACAGCCGGAGTGCTGTGTGAGGCGGGGAGAGGGGCAGGGCAGGCGATGGGTCCTGCTAAGAGGTGACCCAGCTGATGCTCTGCTCTCTCTCGGCACACATACTATGCCCAGGGATTGGAACCATTCAGAGCCCCCCTAAAAGACCTCTCTGCCCTCTGCTCTCCAGCCTGGGGGAATGGCACAGATTAGGGTGAGGATAAGAGTGCATCCTGTGCTGCAGCATCCACAGCATGCAGCAACTGGGGCAGTCATCCCTATCCTCATCCCTATCCTCACCCTCATCCTCAGTCCCATGCCAATCCATGTCCTCATCCCCAACCTTATCCCCAACCTCATATCCCCCATCCTCATCCCTTAACCACCCCCATTTCTATCCCCATCCTCATCTCCATCTCCGTCCCCATCCCCATCCTCATCCCCATCCCCTCTCCATCCTCATTCCCATTCCCATCCTTGCTCTGAGGATGGTCCTGCTCCCACCCAACGAAGGATCTTTGCACTGATCCTTATGCTGTGCCCAAAGCTCAGATCCCAGCCGGCCACTGGCCCCCACAAGGATATCCTTCATCCCCAGTTATGGAAGCACAGGATGGACACAGGAGACAAGGACTGGGGCAGAGAGCACAGACAGCAGAAATGTATGGAAAGAGCCTCATTTCTGTTGAGTGTCCTGCACACACCAAGGAGATGCTCCATACATGGGACTTATTGGGATGTGAGTATGGGATCAGCACTGCTGGGAACCCCATTGCCCGGGGGCTCAGCACCATCCGGCGCAGCCCGGCACAGTGGCCCTTATCGGCCTTCCTGGAATTAATGGGCTGCTTGTTCCAGCCCTGCAGAGATTACGGCATCTCCTGCCGGCAAGGGCAGAGGGAGAGCGCTGGAGGGCCGGGTTATCCATCAACCCCGCGGGTTCTGGATCATTTGGTGTGCCAAGCACTCTGCAACAGCACTGCCACAGGAGGGGTGAAGGGAGGGGGGGGTTGGAGAGGACACCAAGGTCAGCGGGGGCTGGTGGTGTGTCCCAAAGGTGGGGGTCCAGCTGGGTGCCCGGAGTGGGGTCTGCTCCCAGGGATGATGCCGATGAGTGGGAATGGGTGGCAGCACAGGAGGTGAGAAATGCTTTCATGGTTGGAGGGGCCCCGTGCTGCGAGGGACGTCTCCAGCTCACACCCCATCACATCTGTGTCTCCATCCCAGGATAGGGGCAGAGGGACGTGGCCAGCCCACAGCATCTCCTCCCCCAGCCACTATGCCAGCCGGGGACTGTGAGCGCCCCGATCCCCTTTTCGTCCTACTTCAGGACCTTTTCCTCCTTTTGTGACGCACTTTGGCTGCAGTGTCTCAGCCTTGGCCTCGTGCCACGTCCCGGGGTCTGAATTTATGGATTCAACAGGCGGTGGAATCGGCCCGGTGGGACTGAGCGTGGGAGGGCTCCTGGCCCCATGCCACGGCGTGGGCAGAGCACAAGGATGAGTTCCCATTGCCCCACAAAGCAAAGGGGCTGGGGACCCTTCCAGCAAGTAATATCCCGCTCCCCAACTCTGCACCCTGGTGCACCTTTGTATCAACTGCTCAAGACCTGCACAGGGCTCCATAGCCCCAAAAAGACCCCCCTAGAACCCTACAGATATACTCCATAGCCATGCTAGGGCCTCACAGAGCCCCATAGTCACCTATAGGACCCTCATATCCCTCTCCAGAAACCCCAGAGACCACAATAATTCCTCCATACGACCTCCATCTCCACCTCCAGGATCCCATTAGGACCTGACAGACCCCTATGTCCCCTGATAGGACCCCCAAAACCTCCCATCACACCAGACAGGCAGCACCCTACAGCACGTGGGAGCAATCCTGGGATGTGTAGGAGATGTGCACTGCCTTTCCCAGTGGACAAATGGATGCATGTGACACCAAAGTATCTTTGCCCATTCTGCCTGGCTGCAGGGTGACCAGTGTCTGGGAATGGTCCCCAGATTGGGTCCCACAGACCCAGATGTCCCTTTCCCAGGTGGGATAAGGTGCCAGCAGGACAGGGCTGCAGGAAGGGATTGTTCCCCCATGAACAACACAAACATTTTTGCTCATTATTCCACTTTTAATCTCCCTGCGAGGTGACTTGCTTAGAGTAATAATTGCTTCGCTCTCATTTTATCTGGCTAATTAATCAGTTAATAAATGACTTTGCTGCAGGGGAGGCAGACGGTGCGGCCGTCTCCTCAACCAGGGACTGGAAAAAAACAGGGAAGGAGCTCAGCCCACAGGATTTTCATGGCCCCATGGCATGCACAACTTGTTGGGGGTCGGGGGCTGATGGAGCCTCCTGCTTTACCCTGAATTCCAGCAGGGCCACTGCTGCATGGTGATAATGGGGCAGGGTGGGGGGCTGTAGATCTACTTCTTTATCATCAGTGTTATGGGGCTGTAGAGTGGCTGTGGGAAGGAATAGAAAACGGGGCACAGAGGGGTACTGGGGTGCAGGGAAGCAGATGGGACTGTGTGGGTTACCCAGAGGGACAAGGACAGGAGGTGCAGGATGGCTCAGTCCTGCCCAGCATCCCCCGGTGATGGGCTCAGATCAGCTTCTCCCCTCTCCACTGCAGCAGGACCCTGGCATGTGGGAAGGCGGTCTGCAGGTCCTTGTGGATCTGGGGCAGAGCACAGCATCAGCACACAGCAAGCACAGACATCATGGGACAGGGGGCTCCTGTACCCCCCCTCCCACCGAGGAAAGGACCCCAGGAGGATCCTCCATTCATTTGAAGGGGCTGAAGGCACAGCTCACCTTGGCCAGGAGCTGCTCCTGCACCGTGGTGTTCCCCATGTCCAGAGGAGTGATGAGATGCATGGAGAGGAAGAGCTGAGATGCACCTGGGAGCAAGGGACACAGCTCTAGTTGTGCCCCATCCATCCTGCACTGCAGCAGGATCACACCCCACAAACCCCCCATGCCTCCACAGAGAAAGCAGTGGGGATGCAGGCCCCCCTGCACTGGCCATCAGGAAGCCCAGTGGCCACCACAATAACGAGGAGATGATGATGCCCATCGGGCACATGTGGCCCTGCCACCTGTCCCCAGGAGATAACACTTACTGGCATTGCTCGGGGCATTGGGGCAGGCTGGTGACAGCTCTGCAGAGGGACTGGTGGTGCCATTCAGGCTCTGTGCTGAGGTGGTGGCAGGGGGGGAGAACTCCGTGCCTGGGCACAGCAATGCTTTGTTAGTGCTGCTGTCACGGAGTGCTGCTACAGGTGGGGGTGGCACTCACCTGGGGTGGCACTGGGGTTCTGTGGTGCCGTCGAGGTGTCTGGAGGTGTTCCTGTGGTCAGTGTGGAGACATCAGGGCTGGTTCTAGTGCTGCTCCCCAAGGGTGGGCTGGGACTGAGGGTGCTCCTGGGGACCACTGTGCTGATGATGGAGATGGTGGTGGTGTCTACCACAGTTGTAGAGGGCTCAGGTGGTGCAGCTGTGTGTGCTGAAGTGGGGGCAGCACTGCTGGTCACATGGGTGGTGCTGGGCATCGCTGAGGTGGGGGCTTCTGTGTCCGAGCTGGAGGGAGGAGTGGTGGCTGCGGTGCTGAGCAGCGACACGGGGGGCTCTGTGGATTTTGGCACTGTCACACCCACTGCTGTGGTTCCTGCAGAGAGGTGGCAGAGGCATCAGCCAGTGTGCTGGCACCGAGGCACCCCACGCTGTGCATCGGCCGTGGGCAGCCAACAGCGGGGATCCCCGTCCTGAGCAGATCCAGATCCGTGGGGATCAGCGGTGTGGGAGGACAGCACATCCCCAGGCCGACAAGCGGGCACAGCTCCGGGCAGGACCCCCTCCTGGCGCCAGCGATGGCCCCGTCCCACCGCCTCCATCCAGCCCTGCGGCACTCAGAGCCGCCCGTCGGACGGGAAGAGCCGCAGGAACCGGTTACCCGGGGTCGGCTTGGGAGCTCCTCTGCAGCGTACACAAAGCTGCGTGCAGATGTTCAGGAACCGATAACGCGGGGCACAAAGAATGGGAGCGGGGCCCAGGGGAAGGAGAGGGAGAGAGAAGTGAATCCTGGCTCGTGCGTCAGGATTAGGTTTAGCAGAGATGACAGCAGGGGGCTGCTGCTCCGGGCAGCCCCAAAGAGGAGCGGAGGAGAAGGTCCGCATGCAAGCAGCAGCAGAAATAAAGCCAAGCTCATTGCTCCTGCGGTGCATGGCACAGCAGCCACAGTGTTCTACATCCCTGGGCCGCGACGCTTCCTCCCCATGCATCCCGCTCAGCCCTTACCCAGTGCCAGCTTTGACCCAGCGAGGCTCAGCAGCAGGAACAGGGGCAGCCCTCCCCTACGTGCAGCCATGTCCAGGGAGGCAGGAGCCGATGCCTCCTGGTGGGCACCGCTCTGAGCGCTCCCCGCGGCCCCGGCACTGTGGTTTCCGCTTTGCCTTCTCCCGGCAGAGGATGAGCATCCAGAGGCGTCCCTTTATTGCCCAGGTGCTGGCACTGCCAGAAGGGCTCTCACCCAGCACGGGTGCTCCCAGAGATGGGCACAACGCCTGGCAGCCATCAGCTGCACGGTGGCCCCAGAATGGCCACAAGCAAAGTCCCTGAAGCCAGAGACTTGTGCTGAGCAAGGGCAGTTCCAATGGGAAAAGCCCTGGAAGAGCCTGGGACCCCCTAATACTCCGAGAAAAGGGTGATACGTGGTGGCTGCCGACCCTGAGGCCCTCAGAGACAGCAGTCCACCGTATGTGCAAAGAGGCAGAGCCAGGAAGGGCGTGCTCTGGGCTGAGGACTCATCTCCTGGGCTGTCCGTGCAGCATCACTTCCACAGCACGTGTCACAGCCCAGCGCTGCCTGCAATCAGAGCTGCTTCCTTGTTGCTGGGGTCAGGGATGAGGCCCCTCAAAGGCGCTGGGCCAGGACACAACGTCCTGCGGGTGTGCTGGGACACGGCCAGAGCACGGCGCTCTGCTGGGGCTGTCACACTGCAGGCACACGGCTGGCTGCCAACATAACGAAGGCACCACCAGTGGCGTGGGCAGGATGCAGGCACCCAGGGGTGCTGAGCTCTCACCGTCGGGCTGTCACCAGGCTGTAGGTGGTAGGACAGGTGGGACGGCTGCTTGGATGGGGCACAGGCATGTGGATGGGTTGTCCTTGGGGTGCTGCTGACATGCCCACCTGAAACCATGCCCACCTGAAACCATGCCCCCAGACCACTCCCACTGCGGCCACACCTCTCAGCTGCACCTTATATAGGGCACATGGGGTAGGAGGTGGGTGTCCTTTAGGGGTAGGGTGTTGTAACCTTGTGTCCCTGTCCTACAGCTGCACTCACCTGGGGTGGCACTGGGGCTTGTTGGAGATGTCTCTGCAATCAGGGTGGACAAAGCAGGGCTGCTCTCAGTTGTGTTCTCCAATGGTGGGCTGGGAGTGAAGGTGCTCCTGGGGACCACTGTAGTGCTGGTGGTGGTGGTGGTGCTCACCAGGGCTGTGGAGGGCTCAGCTGTGTGTGCTGGTGTGGTGGGAGCTGGGGCTGTGCTGGTCCCTGCTGATGTGATCTCAGCCCAGGTGGATGCTGTGATTGTAGAGAGGGGGCTTGGGGTGGTGGTGGTGGTGGTGGTCATTGGAGTTGTTGCAGTGCTGTGTGTGAAGGCACCTGTCTGTAGAGCTATGGTGGAGATATCAGAGCTGGTCCTAGCTGTGCTCCCCAGTGTCTGGCTGGGAGTGAGAGTGCTCCTGGGAGGCACCGTGCTGCTGATGGAGGTGGTTGTGATGCCCACCAGGGCTGTGGAGGACTCAGCTGAAGAATCTGGCTGTTCTGGTATGGTGGGAGCTGTTGCTGTGCTGGTCTCTACTGATGTGCCAGTGGTGATGTCAGCCCAGGTCCGTGTCATGGCTGTGGAGGTTGAGCTTGGGGTGGTGGAGACGAGTTCTGGGCTTGGAGTGGTGGTGGTCATCTGAGTTGTTGTAGTGCTGTGTGTGAAGGCACCTGTCTGTAGAGTTATGGTGGAGATATCAGAGCTGGTCCTAGCTGTGCTCCCCAGTGTCTGGCTGGGAGTGAGAGTGCCCCTGGGAGGCACTGTGCTGCTGGTGGAGGTGGTTGTGATGCCCACTAGGGCTGTGGAGGACTCAGCTGAAGAATCTGGCTGTTCTGGTATGGTGGGAGCTGTTTCTGTGCTGGTCTCTACTGATGCACCAGTGGTGGTGTCAGCCCAGGTCCGTGTCATGGCTGTGGAGGTTGAGCTTGGGGTGGTGGTCGCCTGGGTTCTCACAGTGCTGAACATGGAGGCATCTGTCTGTGTGCTGGGCATCACTGAGGTGGGGGCTTCTGTGTCCGGGCTGGAGGGAGGAGTGGTGGCTGCGGCGCTGAGCAGCGACACGGGGGGCTCTGTGGATTTTGGCACTGTCACACCCACTGCTGTGGTTCCTGCAGAGAGGTGGCAGAGGCATCAGCCAGTGTGCTGGCACCGAGGCACCCCACGCTGTGCATCGGCCGTGGGCAGCCAACAGCGGGGATCCCCGTCCTGAGCAGATCCAGATCCGTGGGGATCAGCGGTGTGGGAGGACAGCACATCCCCAGGCCGACAAGCGGGCACAGCTCCGGGCAGGACCCCCTCCTGGCGCCAGCGATGGCCCCGTCCCACCGCCTCCATCCAGCCCTGCGGCACTCAGAGCCGCCCGTCGGACGGGAAGAGCCGCAGGAACCGGTTACCCTGAGTCGGCTTGGGAGCTCCTCTGCAGCGTACACAAAGCTGCGTGCAGATGTTCAGGAACCGATAACGCGGGGCACAAAGAATGGGAGCGGGGCCCAGGGGAAGGGGGGGGAGTGAGGAACGAATCTCAGCTTGTGTGTCAGGGGTGAGCAGCAGGATGCACCTGCAAGTCACAGAAGCTGCCTCAGGCTCGCGGGAGACAGCATGGATGGCGACGACCCCGAGGTTCCCACCCTATAGGTGGCTCAGTGCCCCCCAGCCCTGCGCTGCGATGCCCCCCCGCGTTTCCCACATCCCTTACCCAGCGCCAGCTCGAACGCGGCGATGCTCAGCAGCAGGGACAGGAACAGCCCTGCTCTGTGTGCGGCCATGTCCCGACAGGACCCAATACCCGGGCAGGATTCAGTGATTCAGTACCCTCCAGCCAGCACCGCTCCAAGCGCTCCCCACAACCCCAGCGCTGCGCGGTTTCCGTGTTGCCTTTGCCCAGCAGCACCCAGGTGGGTCCTTTTGTTTCCCCAGGTGTTGGCACCGAAGGGGGTTTCCACCCAACGCGGCACTCCCAGCGATGGGCACGACGCCCGGCAGCCACCTGCCCCGCGGCCGGGCCGCGAGCGGAGGGGAACGTTGGGTGTGCGCGCAGCCGGCGGCCGCGGGATGGAGCGGAGCGTGGTTTCCTCATTCCCTAGGCTGGGGGCAAAGCCTGCGCTGGGCGGTTGTGTCGTGCGCGGGGTTGGTGCCGGAGGGGGTAGCGCGATGCTGAGAGCACAGCTCCACCCGGGCCGAGCCGAGGAGCGGAACCGCTTCCCCGGGCCTGCGGGGCGGGGAAGGAGTGGGGGGCCGGGCGGAGAGATCACGCCCATTTCTCTGCCCTGGTCCCGCCCCGCGTTGTGTAACGCCCGCTCCGCCGCCGCCACGTGGGTTCGGGCCGGGGTTCGGGGGCTCTGTTTGGGGTCGAGGATGCCGCGGAGCGGTGGGAAGGGGAGAAAGGAGCGGGATGTGGGGAGGGAGGAGGAGGATGCAGGGGCCGTGGGCTCGCTGGAGGCCGCGGTGCGGGAAGCCAGGCGCAGGGCAGCCCCGTCGGTGCGGGATTTCCGCTACAACAAGCAGCGGGCCCGGCTCGTGTCCCGGGGCTCCGAGCTGAAGGAAGGTGCCGAGTGCATCCTCTATTGGATGTGCCGGGACCAGCGGGTGCAAGGTAGGAGCCGGCCCCGTGCCCCGCAGTGCTGGGTGCTCTGGGGGGCTTCTATTAAGTGTTCCCCGTTTTCTCACCCTGCAGATAACTGGGCTTTCCTCTACGCCCAGCGCCTGGCCCTCAAGCAAGAGCTGCCTCTGCGCGTCTGTTTCTGCCTAGTGCCCAAGTTCCTGGATGCCACCATCCGCCACTACGGCTTCATGCTGAGGGGGCTGCGGGAGGTGGCCGAGGTACAGCCGCTGCAGTGGGCAGGTGGGATGGAGCCGGCTGGGAGCAGCCCTTAAGCCCTGTCCTCTCATTGCAGGAGTGTGCAGAGCTGGACATCCCCTTCCACCTGCTGCTGGGCTGCCCCAAGGATGTGCTGCCCAGCTTCGTGGTGGAGCACGGCGTGGGAGGGCTGGTGACAGACTTCTGTCCCCTCCGTGTCCCCCGGCAGTGGGTGCAGGAGGTCAAGGAGCGATTGCCTGAAGATGTGCCCTTTGCACAGGTGGGTGCCTCTGGAGGATGCACATCCTGGGTCTGTTGGAGAACACAGTGTGCACTGTGCCATTAGGAACGTTGGCTTCTGCTCACATCACCACATCCAGCTTCCTTTCCCAGGTGGATGGCCACAACATCGTGCCCTGCTGGGTCGCATCCCCCAAGCAGGAGTACAGTGCCAGGACCATCCGGGCCAAGATCCACAGCCAGCTTCCAGAGTTCCTCACAGAGTTCCCTCCTGTTATTCGGCACCCACATCCACCGCCCAACCCCCCAGAGGTACCTGCAGAGATGCACTTGATCCTGGGTAGCCTCATGGCTTTGTGGCCCTAGAAGGGGGACACCACCCACAAGTGGTGCGGAGATGGAGAGACCCTGGGGATGTGAGGTTCCATCTCCATTTTCACAGTGGATCTTTACTGTGCTGGGCTGCTTAATAGACAGCTGGTGAGAGCTGGGGGCTTGCAGGCTGGGGACAGCCCTTAGCTGGCACGTGGGGGACGTGTGTTAAGGCTGGGCAGCATCTGCTGCTGCGGCTCAGCTCTCATGCTGCTGGTTTGCTCGCAGCCCATTGCGTGGGATGCCTGCTACTCCAGCCTGCAGGTGGACCGCACGGTGCCAGAGGTGGCATGGGCGACCCCTGGCACTGCTGCTGGGCTGGCCATGCTGCAGTCCTTCATCACCAAGCGGCTCAAGTCCTTTGGCTCACAGCGGAATGACCCAAACAAAGCAGCTCTCAGCAACCTTTCTCCATGGTTCCACTTTGGTGAGTGTCCCGGGCCGTCCCCATCCCATTAGTTAAGGGCTAAGTGCTGGTGGCTCAGGCTGGAGGCCCAACTCATGTCATACCCATGCCCCCAGGCCAGGTGTCCACCCAGCGAGCCATCCTGGAGGTGCAGAAGCACCGACGTGCCTACAAGGAGTCGGTGGATGCTTTTGTGGAGGAGGCCGTGGTACGGCGGGAGCTGGCAGAGAACTTTTGCTACTACAACGAGAACTACGACAGCGTGCAAGGTAGCATCCGTGGGGCTGATGGACAAGGCTGAGGTTGGGCTAATACTCTATTGTGGTCACCCCAATGCCCTGTTCCTGCTAGAGGATGGGCCATAGAACCCTTCAGGTTGGAAAAGACCTCTAAGATCATTTTATCAACCATCAGCCCATCACCACCATGCCCACTAACCCACGTCCTTCTGTGACCCATCTCTGTTTCTTGAGCCCCCCCAGGACCTGGAGGGGAGCAGTTTGCTCAGCATTGCTCCTCACCTCTCTCACAGGCGCCTATGACTGGGCACAAACCACACTGAAGCTCCACGCCAAAGACAAGCGGCCTTTTCTCTACGAATTGCCCCAACTGGAGCAGGCTGCCACGCATGACCCGCTCTGGAACGCTGCTCAGGTTGGTGACCCCCATCTCCTTGTTTTGAGGTCTCTCCTCTGAGACCTGCGTCTGTGCTGGAGCCAAGCCGGCATGGGCTGACTGCTGTGGTTGTGTCCTGCCCTGCAGCTACAAATGGTGCAGGAGGGCAAGATGCACGGCTTCCTGCGCATGTACTGGGCCAAGAAGATCCTGGAATGGACCCGCAGCCCTGAGGAAGCCCTACAGTTTGCCATCTACCTCAACGACCGCTATGAGCTGGATGGGATGGACCCCAATGGCTATGTAGGTAAGCTGGGGAGGGGGCATGGGCAGGTACAGCGTGGGGATGAGAGATTGCATGTAAGGAAAAACCTTTTTATGATAAGGATAGTGAAGAACTGACAGGTTGCCCAGAGAGGTGGTGGGTGCCCCTTCCTGGAGACACCCAAGGTCAGGTTGGATGGGGCTCTGAGCAGCCGATGGAGCTGTAGGTGTCCCCATTCAGTGCAGGGAGTTGGACAAGATGGCCTTTAAAGGTCCCTTCCGACTCAAATGATACTATGATGGAGAGGGGTCTGCAAAGAATCCCTCTCTGGCCTGCTCTCTGGCCCTCAGATGCCCATGGGTGCAGGGCAGAGCTGATGCTCCATCCCCATGTTTGGCAGGCTGCCTTTGGTCCATCTGTGGCATCCACGACCAGGGCTGGAAGGAGCGGGATGTCTTCGGGAAGATCCGCTACATGAACTATGCTGGCTGCAAGCGCAAGTTTGACGTGGATCAGTTTGAGAGCCGCTACCCCCGCTGCAAGTGACTGTGATGCGGAGGGGTGAGGGACCCTGACTGGTTAGCACTGCTCCCTGCATGGGTAGATGTGCTTTTTTCGTGGTGCTGGCTTGCTCTGACACAGATTTGCTATGGGTGGTGGTGGAGGGCTGGCTGCAACAGCAGCAATCCTCAGGGCTTTGTTGTAAAGCTTATGGTTTGTAGCTTCTATGTTGGCAGCTGCACGGTGAGGGATGCAGCTGCCTTGTCCCTGCTCACACTGAAGCTGAGCTCCCTGCCAGAAGGAAAAAAAGAAAAGTTCAGGACACAACCCCACCTCATATTAACTTAGTTTATTAGGGACGGCATTTTCATTGCTACACTGTGCAGCAGTCCCATTGGGAGGGCTCCAGTGAAATGCTGGGGCAGCTTGTGGTTCTCCCTTAGAAACATTTGGGGCCTTGGCAAGCTCCAGCATCACGTCAGGATGTTAGTGTTGGACATCACCTTGCTCCAGAGCCCTCAGCCAGGTTTCAAGTCCCCATTGTTTTCAGATGGAGGGAAGAAAACACAAATAAACCAAAATCCATTTGCTTTTCTCTAAATACACTCAGTGCTTCTAGAACGGGATGTGGGCAACCTCGCAGCCAGTGCCCCACGACATTAAAGTGCTTCAAACAAAATGGTGTGGATGAAGTTGTGCTGCTCGGAGCCAGATCTCAGGAGGAGGGAGGCCAGCTCGTCCTGCTGAGCTGGATGGCAGCGTGCGGACCAGAGGCAAGAACAGTGGCAATGCTTTCTGCTGGCAAGGTAGACCAAGTTGTGGTAGCTCCAGAGCTTCCAGCTGCAGGGCAGGTAGGAGAGCAGCTGCTCTCCTGGGGAAAATGAGGATAGATGGGAGGAGGCAAGAACTCAGGAACAGATGGGGAATGGAACTGCTGCAGGCTGGGACCCCTAGAGCTGGTTGTAGCAGGATGCTGCAGCACAGGGAGGAGATGCTGTCCTATCAGCAAGGCTTGGAGTCACCCTGCGGCCACCTCTCCCAGTCCCATCCTTGCCCTTCCAACTCTTCCATTACCCCATACTTTGACACATCTTGAAAGCCTTCTCACAGCATATTGCCCCCTGCCCTTCACCACCCTTGCACATACACAGGTCCCCCCATCTTTCCTAATATCCACCCTAATGCTGGGTGTGTGCGTCCCTCCTGTGATGACTTGATGCCACGGGATAAAGCATCCCTGGCTACAGCATTTCCAGGGCCAGGCCTCTCTCAGGTGCACTCTTTCTGAGAGCAGCCTGCTCTGTTCCCTAGAGGGACTGGGTGACCCCTCTCCCAAGGGCAGCAGAGCTGATGGGAAAGGGAACCCCTGGCACTCCCCAGCCCCTGTCAGGGGGTGATGGAACCAGGAGCAGGAAAGCTCTGGAGTTTTTAAACTGGTAAGTCCCAAACAAATTGTATGCTCCCTAAAATGAGCATCTCCTCGGGCTGGGGAGCAAAGAGTTAAAAATACATACAACCACATCTAAAAAACAAAAATAAAACCAAATCCAGCCAATTAAAAAAAAAAAAAAAAAAAAAAAAGCCATAGAGGTTAGGGGGAGGTGATCAGAGGACTGAGCCAAGAGGCTTTACACATCCCGACTGGTACAGGCAGAAGACAGCTGCATGCAAGGCAGGCCCCGGTGCTGCTGCCATGGGGAGGTCCCATATCCCTTTTACAGGAAGAGGCAGCCCTCAGGGAGGACAGAGCAGCAGCATGAAGGGGTTATGAAGTTTGAAGCCTTGTTAACTGTGTGTCCTGCCACGCAGAGCTGCCTCCAGCTTCATGCCCAGCAGTAGCAGGCCCCTCACACAGCCGCGCATCCCAGCTGCCCCTGTTGCAATGCCTTTAGGGTGGAGGGAGGTGGAGCAGCTCAGCATGGATGGTGTGGGGGGAGGGAAGGTTGACATACAGTGTTTACATCATTGCTACTTCCTCTGTACCGATTCTGGAGGGAGAGCAATGGTTTACTGGCAATGGTTCCAACTCAGATGTTAAAAAAGGGAATTGCTAAATGTTCCATCAATCCCCCCCTCCCCCCTCAAGCCCTCCCATATTTCCATGTACACACAAACTAGCAGCAAGAAGCAGAATGGGAGGACTTGGAGAGCTGACTTCCCTCTCCCAGGAGCAGATGGCCAGAGCTTCCAGTGTCCAGCTGACGAGCAGAAAGTGCTGACCCCACCGAGGACTCCTCCAGGAAGAAGGGGATGGAGATGGACAAGGAGAAGGCTGCAGACAGGCTCACAAGTGATTGCCTGGTAAAGACTCACTTTCTGCCTACGGGGCAGACAGGACTAGCCACCACCTGTCCCCTCATCAAGGCATCCCAGGGTGTCCATTACCTGGAACAGACTGGATGACAGAAGGTAATCCTTCCCTAACACTGCTGTACAGGGGAAAGCAGATCCCTTTGACACTACTCCAGGTATGATGAGTATCCTGCCAGTCCTCCTCACCGTAAGTATGCTTGGTTCAGTCTCTGGTGATGAAGGTGTAAATAAACCCGGTGCCTGCTCCTCTGCCGCACCGTGCTTAGGTGGCTGTTGCTGCCTCCTGCTGCTCTAGCTCATCATCTTCATAGTCTGAGATGTAGGATTCCATGCTCTGCTTGGCCAGCAGCTCTCTTCGGGCTTGGAGTCGCTCGCAGCGAGGGCAGCGTGTGGACTTGAAGCAGGACTTGTGGTAGCAGGCTTTGCATTCTGGGGGAAGAAAAGGAGAGCAGCTGAAGGCTGGCACAGGCTGCCTGGCTCTCCACACCTGCAGAGAAATGCTCCAGGTTTGTCTAGGAGGACAAACACCAGAAGCAGGCGTTTGGCACTGCTGAAAGCAGCAAGAACTCATGCTGTAAAGTACCTAACTTGAAACTGCTGCAGTCTTAACTTTGACCCTGCAGCACACGCTTCACTACAGGGCAGGGCTGCTGCCCTGGATGAGCAAATACCATTGTAATATTATTTTAAACACTGTTGTAAACAACAACTGATCTGCTGCTGTTATCATGTGGTGCAGACATAGGCTGTTCATAGAAGCACCGTGATCTGGCTGCCTGTGTTTGGCTCCACGCTTCTTACTGGCACAAAGCCACTCAAAAATGAAGAAGCAGACATTGCTGACCCCCTTCCTGTTTCTCCCCATACCTCACCTTCACATGTCTTGCACTTGTTGAGCTCAAAGGGGAAGATGATGTCCCCTTCATTCTGGCAGAACTCGCAGATGAAGCCTTTGGCTTGGCATAGCTAGGAGAAAAGGCCAGGAAAAAAGTAAGCTCGACGCTCCTCATCTCCCTGGAGCTGGATAGTAGGACATGGTGTCTTGCTCTACCTATGTGGGACAGTCCATTCCCAGCATGAAGCATAGCAAGGCAGAATCAATGTGTTAAGGATAAAGTCAAAATAGGGTAAGAAATATCCCGCATGTGCTGGGTAGCAGTTCTGTGGAACAGGTGAGAGCAGCAAGCTTGTAATCAGTTAATTCTGTGATTGCTCTGCATGTCAAAGGCCTTCCCACTGGCTATTTACACAGAAAGCCTACCCAAAGGATGTTTCAGAGCTGTGCAGTAGGTGGCTATAGAGGCCTTACCATGCATTTCTCAACGTGCAGGCTGCCTGCCTTCAGGAGCTCTGTCAGGCGAGGCACCAGGTCCCCCCTCTTGGTGGCACTGAGGTCACTTAGAGAGTAGAGATGCAAATCCTCTGTCAAGTGGCCAGGCACCGCATCGAAGGAGTCCAGGAGACTGCAAGGACAGCAAAACTGGAGCTCAGAGCAGAGGAACTCTACTGAGTCAGATACAGGACAGCAAACAGCTTAACATCGCACTCCAGGACTCACTCTTTAGCTAGCCGGCAGGTCTTAAACATGTTCTTCATGTGGAAGAGCTGGATTCGCAGCAGCTGGAGAGGAAGGAGGGACACAAGGGATCAGTAAACAGATCACAGACCTTAACCAAACACGTCTGCCCCGTTTCCTGCATTGGTGAAACGGCTGCTGTTCCCCTGGTACAGGAGTGTTTACACCACGCTGGATACAGCGAGCACAACCAGTCACCACACGCTCCAGGAAATAAACCAAGGCCCAGCTGGACACCAAGCAGAAATACCTTCCCATTCTGTGCTACTGCACAGGAAACAAGATATGAACGGAAACCCACAGCGCTGAGGTTTTAAGTTTCAGAAACTGAAATATCCGCTTCTCCTCAGCTTCTCCAGCGCACGATTTACAACTGGCAGCCACCCTCCCCCTGCAAGCCCCACCCAGGAAGGTGAGGGAAGGGGCTTACCCACACTTGGTTGAGAGGCTTCACCTTCCGGTACAGGGCAGGATTGATGTCTTGCACGTTGAAGAGCGGGTCGCTCCAGATCTTGCTCAGCAGGTCTTTGGAGAAGTTGCTCACGTAGTACTTGCTGAAGTCCCACTTGCGCAGGATGCGGCTGGGGATGACTGTCTGGGCGTTCTCGTGGCAGCACTGGCAGAAATACTTCCCCAGGTACTCACAGTACCGCAGTCGCTTGATGTAATCTAGCCAAGCCCAGGGGAAGGGGGAAGTCAGGTGAGGTGCAGGCTCTGCCCATCCGTGTATCAACATTTCCAGCGAGGAAGGCGTTCTGCCTTGCCAGCTCCTCCTCCAGCAACAGACTGCTCAACACTGGAGCCTGAAAGCACGCTGCAGGCTGCAAAATTCTTTGAGGACCACAACCCGCCCATCAATCCATGCTGTTAGAGGAGTGCACAAAAGCTGTGACCCAAATTTGTGGATACAGACATTGCAGACCCACCAGGCTACCAAAGGATAGGAAGGTCAGTGTTGCAAAGACTGTCCATTTACAGGTCCTCAACACGTGTATGCTGACATGTGAGCAGAGCTGGCAAAGGCCTTAGAAATGACACCATGAAAGAGCATACCATCTTCCCAATGACCTCATGCTGAGCTCTGCTGCAATCCACCCCCTCTGCATCTTCCCACTCTCACAGGTTATTCCCTGCTTTCCAGCTACTGCTCAGCACTCACCAGGATCGGTCCGGATGCCACAGCCTGCACACCGGTAATTCTGCTTGGCCACAGCTACCTTCCTCCTGTCCAGAGACAAAAGATGACATAAGTGAATCCAGGCCTGATGGCACCCAGCACCTGACAACAGGCACTGACACAACTCTGGACATGCACATCCACATTCCTTGCGATGAAAGCGTGGATGACAGGTAAGTGGAGGAAGAAAGCCTTGTTGCACACCAAAGATAGGAAGCACAGGCACCAGGTGGAGATGGCCAATGTGGATTTAGCAGGCTGAGAGCAGAGAAGCCCTGCTAGCCAAGTAGGAAAGGAAAGACAATCAACCATGGAAAAACCTAAAACAAACAATGGGGAAAAATGGGGGGAAAGGGCAGGTACCCAGAGAGCCCTCTACTGTATGAATTCTTACGTTGGGGCTGGGTGAACGTTGAAGATGATCTGTGGTCGTGGGGGGGCCCACTCCAGGTTTCCACGCACCCGAATCCTCAGCTTGTAGATGTCAGCGTGTTCTCCGTCATCAGGAGAGACAGGCAGAGAGTCGGGGATGGGCAGGAGCTGGGAGAGGCAAGTAAAAGGGTCAGACCCCTGCCTAGAACTACACAGGCAATGCACCTGGCTGGTGCCTGGCACCTACTGCCTAGCCCTGTCCCAACAACAGGCTGTTGTGGCTGAATAGAGGGGCTGGAAGAAGGGATTTCCCCAGGGGTTTGAGCACTCTGCTGTATGAGGCTGCAGGAGCAGAGCCCAGCACTGCTGCACCCTATTTACACATGGGCTCTTCAGGAACTTTCACTATTTCCAAGCAGCCCAGTTTCCTGGGCAGGTCTCCTCATGCTTCCCAAGCACAGCCTAACTCCGAGCTCACTGGGGCGTGTGATGCTTCAGCCCTTCAGGGCATGGGCAAGCTGAAGAGCCTGGCAGAGTTGGGCACCGTGCAAGATGAAGATCCTGGTATTGAATGTGATGCCTTCAAGGAGTCTGATCGTATGTCACCCAGATCCCCAGAACAACTGCATATCAAAGAGCAACCTGCACTTCAAGGAGACCAAACAGCAGCCTCTGTGAAGAACCCCGTGGGGGATGGCTGAGCACAAGACAGGTAAACCCAATGCCAAGTTTGTTCTCTGCAGACATTAGTAGGAAAAGGCCAAGGCACTGCTGCCCAGGAAGATGTGGTAGCAACACCCTATGAGAACTTGCTGCAGGGGGCAAGGAAGAAGCCACACAGCTGGGCTGAGTGCCTTCCAGGGAGCTGTCAGCACCACTAGGGATACCTTCTGTTCTTTGTGAGGTTTTTCATTCCTTTCTGGTTCCTCCACAAGACCCAGACCCCACAGCCCCACGGCAGCTCATTTCCAACACTGGTGCCTCAACAAAGGAACCATTTGGCATGTTGACAGTCGAGCAGTTAGTGCACACTGTGGCCCATGCATGTTCCCTCCAGGCACACTCCCAGCATCATCCACTCCCAGCGTACCAGCAAGAGTTTTTTGGAAAGCTGCCTTTTCTTATACCAGCCAGGATGCCTAAACAGCTTTTTTAGAGACCATCTCAGGCCCTGAAAACCAACAACAAACAAGCAATCAAGGTGCCTAGCAAGAGCAGTGGGTGAGCAGCCATGCAGGCCTTGCTTATGCCCCAGCTCTAGGGCATTTTGCCCCAGTTGTGCCCAAGCACAACTTTTGCTTGGGAGCCACTGCTGTTCCCAAACTGCTGCCTCTGTCCTCTCAGCCCTCTCAGCTGTTAGCCAAGGCACTGCACAGCAAGCGGCAGGGCCTGGACAAAACCCATCCTTCTCTCCTCCACTTTCAGCAGAACTAGCAAAGGCCCTGGGCAGTGGGCATGGAGCCAGGGAATGTGTGAAAAGGATCAAATAATCGGTGAGCTGGGATTTCCAAAGAGCAGGGAGAGCTCTGCACTGTATGCTTTTCCAATCACCGTGCCTCAGTACTGCCCTGCTCCTGTGCTGGCACCTCCAGGCAGTGCCCATGTACCTTGGTGGTGCCACCCCAGTCACTGTCACCCTCCTGTACACAGACATACTCACACCCCTACCTTCTGCGGGGCGTCATGTTCAGGGACCAGCCATTCCAATTCGGAGGCAGCTGGCAGCTGCATGCCCTCAAACTGCTTCAGCAAACCCATGGCCACAGCTTCTGCAGAGTTTGAATTGCCGAATGAATGGGATCTAGCCAACAAAGGAAGCAGTTAGTACTAGGGGTCTCAAAGCTGTGCTGCTTCACATTCCCCCATTCTCTGATGCTAATTCTCAGCTCAAGCAGGGAAACAGCTTTACACCCGTCCCAGATGAGAGAGAAAGGCAAGGGAAGCTCAGAGCCAGCAGAAACCAGAAGCCAGGCAGGCCATATACTCCAAGTCATGCCAGCTCTTCTTCCCAGCCTCCTACCACTAGAAATTGTGGGGATCTTCCCAGACACAGCAAAATCATATCTCATGTCCACATAGCATGTGAATGACCTTTATCATCCCAGGTGCTGCTTTCCAAATTCAAAAATAGGACCCAGCTGTGCCTCACTGGTAAGAAAATGTAGGGATGGAGGGAGGGATGTGCAATCCAGTGCAAATCAGCAACTGAAGCACCTGGAAGTAGAGCTGGGCAGGAAAGGGAACTGGGTAACAAGATGTCTCAGTGCAAGTTGAATACGTACATGGAGTCTGAGGAGAGAAAGGGCTTCCTGCTGGAGTCAGGGTTCCTCTTGATGTCTGCATCTGAATCAGAAACAAACATGATGGAGCAAACTGGGCAGGGCTGAAGAATACATTCACTCCAAACGGAAGCTTCATTTTAAAACTCGTCTAGCTGTTTAAAAGCACAGAAACTACAACATCAGCTTCTACCAGTGATACAGAGCAGCAAGGAGAGGTGCAGTCAAATTAATCACCTATTGGGAGTTACAAGGTAAGGCACAGTGGGATGCTGCAAAAACACAGCCAGGATTTGGTGTGGAAGGTGGTGCAGGTCACACACCAAGTCCTAGTGTTTACACAGCCTGTAACAGTGCACACAGCTGCAGCTAGGAGGGCACAACAGCAAGGTTAGCTGGAAAGTTTAGTAGCTCTTTATACAGTACAGGTGCTGCAGGGCATTAGCAATGGGACGCAAAACCCTCCTCCCTATTGAATCATACAACTCAAGATAAGTGGCTGTGCCACAGCTTGTCAGCTGTTGCACCACAGCACTGGCAGCCTGAGTCCTGCACTCGAGAGACGAGTCAGCATCCATGTAGCTGCAGGGGTCAGTCCTATGCAGAGGCACAGAGCCATGAGGCTCTCTCTGGGAAGCAGAGATCCAAGATCTCTGGAATAGACCTGGGCTTTACCACATCCCTCCTCAGGGCCAGGATGTGGGCACCACAGCAGTATCCCAGAGGTACCTCCCCCCCATGTGTGGCTCTGGAGTCACTCTGCTCTGCTACCCATGCAGGTCAGTGACACAGACCACTCAGATTCTGTCCAGGCACCAGCTCATGCTTGCTCTGCAGCAGAAAGCTAACGCCCCGAGCCATCAGCTTTGCTAGGAAGAACAGGGTTGCTCCAGCAGAACCGGGAGCAAGAAGTTCTGAAGAAGTGCTCTCCTGGAGCAAATGACTCTTCAGCTGCTCCTGGCTTCAAAAAGGGAAGGGTATGCAAAGAGCACAGGTTGAGCCTCAATAGATCTTCGCTAAGTTTACAAACTCATGCTAGCAGAGGTCAACATGGACACGTAACACTGTGTTTGACATCCATTGCTAGTAACTGACACACGAAAGCATCCTGATGCTAAGGAATCCACCCATCTACATCATGCAAACAGACTTCTTGTTGCAGAAAAGAGGGAACTCAGCCAAAATGAGCCTCCTAACCACATAGATACACTGCAGATGTATCTACCATGCTCTGAGGCCTTCGGTTCTGTGCAAGAAGACTTTGCATGACCCTAGAGTACGACAAACTCAAGCAAACAGTGGAGCACACACAGTATAGGACAGGCCAAGCACTATGAGGAGATCTTGGGCAGAGCACTGCTATCATCTCAGGGAGGGCAGAGGGATCCAGACTTGGCCCTAGGCTCCCCTGTGTGCTGGGATCCTGTCATCACTCCCTCCCCACTCTTAATTGCAGACACTCCTCAAAAGTCTCCACTTAGCTGCCCCAAATGTCTCCGCTGCTAATGCTTTCACCATGTGGGACAGTCCCCAGGGGGTTGGTGAACAGCACACAAAGTCAGGGAACTCACCTAGCCCTGAGCTGCCAGCTTCAGGCCAGGATGAGCCAACTCTGCATTGAATTCATAGGATAGAGCAGGATTGACGGGAAGCTCTGAGCACTAGCATCTCCAGCAGGAGCAGCACACTGATGTCAAATGCTGACAGAAGAGATCAGCAGCTAAGCAATACCAGGCTGCACATGATCACAGCATCCAGGGCCTCCAGTGGGTAAGAAACACCTCTTTCCAACTGTTCTCACTACTTTTCCCTCAAAGACCTCTTTCTAGAAGGATTCCTCCCCAAGTCAGGTCTGGTCAGGAAGGGAAGGGCTGGCCACAGTTTGAATCAGAGTCATTGCATGCCAGCTCTGTGGAATCAAGCAGGATGACTCTTCCCCAAGGCACCAACAGCTTCAGAGTGCTTCGGGCCTGTGCTCGCTCTGCCTTGTGGCCAAAAGCTGGCAGTAGAGTCATTCAAAGAGCAAGATTCCTTTCTTTGTGGTTCCCTCCTTGTCTTGTGTGTGATCAGAGAGGCAATTGTTTTCAGCAGGGCAGCTCCATTCAGAGTCATCGTGTTAGAGGGCAGCACCTCTGAGATGGACCTCTGGTGCTGCAGCAGAGGACTGCTGTCACAGAGCCCAGCAGCTACAGAATTACAGCGCTATGCTTTTGCCTTCCTGAGTCCCACCCCAGGCTAGACAGGTTTTCCAAGCAGCAGGCATGTTTTGTGTATTCAAAATGCTGCATAGAAAAATCCCCTGGGGGATGGTGACCAGGCAGAGCTCCTCTGCTTCCTCTTTGCTCCCAACAAAGCACCGTCCTTCCATAGCTCTTCTTGCTGACACTTGGATGACACTGTGTCACTGTTCCCAAATCACAAAGCATGAGGAGCTGGTTTACGTGCACTGAGCTGTGAGGAAGGACAGTTGAAATACCCACACCAGTGACTTAGGCCAGGGCCTGACAGTAAATTTCAGTGATTTGTTGCCTGATCTGAAGCTGATCTACTGATGAACTCAATACCAGATGAGCCTGTACAGATTGAGGCCTCTGCACTCCATGCAACACCCTGAGGGGGCACGCTGAGAACTGTGCACGTGCGAGGCAGACACACGCACACACCTTGCACACACACGCACGCGTGCCAAGGGAGCACTGCAGGTACTACCTGAGAACAAGGAAGCCATTGACACTGAGAGGCCGTCCTTGGACATTTGAATCAGGTTAGATCCATCGTTACCATCTGTATAACACGGTGATGACAAAACAGTTCACTTCAGTGCTTTGGCCAGACCAAAGGGAAAGGGCATAACACAAAAGCAACACTCGCATGGGAGAAGCCAGAACTAAATTCACACACCCCTAAAGGGACTTCAAAACCAAGTCCAAAATCTAGCTCTCAGGAACTGAAATGGGGGCTTTGCTGTCAAGTCACAGACAAGAAGACTGAGAATTTATAAACTGAGACCAGATTGCTCCATCTTCTCTCATCTCACCTCTAAAGTCTAAAGCATGACCGAGGTACTGCTGAGATATGAGCCATCCATCCCGGAGGACAAACGAGGCTTCGAAGGAAGGGGATGACCAGGGACCTAAGGCAGGTCTCCTGCATGCAACAGGCTTGGCCGCACTAGCAGCCAGGAGCAGAGACCAGGAGCAGTACAGGTCAGGGGGTGACCAGCACCCGCTGCTCCAACCCAACACACAAGTCTGCTCCTACTGCTTGGGGAGGAAGAAAGCAGGGTGGCAGCCCTCCCATCTCTCCCTGGCTGTGACAGCTGCTCTGTGACCTGGCAAGTGAAATGGAAACCATGTGCCAGTTCTGAATGCTAAAGAATTATAGAGGATTTTGAAGGAAAGTCATGCCACCACATGAGAGAAACTGGTTGATCTGTTCATGCTCAGCATTCAGCCATTTGTTTGGGAAAAGCCATCCTGAAGGCTGAAGGGACATGCTCCCATTTAGTGTGACTGAGCTCAATGCAACCAGGCCCAGGAGAAGTCTCTCTCTGTGCAAGAAGCTAATGCAGCCATTGCCTCTTACCTCGGATCTCGTACTCCTCCACATCCTCCGCAGAGCCCGAATCAGACAGGCGCGTGGAGCCATGGGAGCTGAACTGGGACTCACTGTCTGTCGCCACAAGGCCTGGGAGATAAAGGGAAGGCAACACAGCCAGGCCATCAGTGCAAGCAGCTGAACTGGGCACGGACAGCAAAGGGGTAAAGTGATAGCCAGCTGTGACCAGGGAAGGGTGGATGGCAAGGATGGAAAACAGGTTCTGTGGCTTCAAAATGAAACCACATTCCTTAACTCAGTGTCACCAGGGCACGAGTGTTACGCATATATGGTATCGGCCCCGCTACACTGTAATATGGCAGGGTTTCACAGATGTCTGCACCACCCTGTTAGAAATGAGCCCAAAAAACATCACCCACTGTCTGAGCCCATCTCCTGGCAGTTAGAGAACATGTGCTTGGTGCGGATCTGCTGGCGCCTAATGCGAATCTTTTGTTTGAGCTCCTGGATCTCCTTGTCGCTGTCTTCCTCTTCCTCCTCCAGCTGCCGGCTCATCATGTTGCATTTCATCAGCTCGATAGCAGCAATCAGTGACTCTGAGATGCTAAAGTGAGCATTCTCCTGCAAGGCAAAAGCAAAAGTATTTGAGGCTGTAGCACAGGGAAAATTGGGAAGCCTTGGTAAAATATGGTTTAATATTTTCATCCAGAAAGGTGGCAGAAAGACCTTATACCTTTCTGGCTCTATGAAATCTCACTCTTCTATGAGAACCTAGAAATCAAAGCCTTCTGAGGCAACAGAATTGTTGCAAAACATAGGGCAAGTCTTACAAAGTGGA